AAAAATGTGAGTAACACAAGCAGTACCTATACCATTTACTAACAACCTCTTTATCAAAAACATCAAAATATACAACCACCAAGCAAACGTTTTTCTACGGCACAATATATTTCTATACTCTTTGTTCTAGCTTTAATGGACTTCCATTATGAGACGAAAACTAAGACATAAAAGAAATTCAAGTCCCACAATCGGCTGTATTCAGCGCTGAAATGGAATAATGTAAAATTGAATATTAATAAAAAAAATCGTTTACTCACTACTTCAGAATCTTTTGAATACAAATAGGGGAGAGTACGAGTACAAATTATTTTCCGGTTTTTACATTAAAATAGTAGATAGAAAAAACTACCCTTATATCATATTATATCATGTAAAAATTCATAATAAATAGATTTCAGTTTTTTGAGGTGCTCTCCTGCAGTTACGTCAAATTTTGAATGTTAGAAGGTGTACAAAAAAACCCAGAAACTATGGGTACTTATAAATTTATATTTTATAAAATGAAATATTTTTTGTCTCAAATTATGACATATTATTATACTATTAAAGTTTCACTCCCAAATATCCTTCTCGTTATTCTTCACACCACACGGCTCTATAAACCAGTGAACAATGCTTTATTCAACATTATACTTCTTAAATTAATGAACTAATATTCATTGCACAATATAAATCATTACGATTCACGGGTATACGTATATTATTAGACGGCGCTTTGGATAGGCAATTCAGGGCCATTAAATTTTTTATATTATTATTATTTTATTCTGTTCAAATAATCCCATTTTTGGTGTATATAAATCATTTATTCTTTATTTAATCTTGTTTAGGTTTGAAAAGTGTTCTTATGTCATGGACCAAGGTTGTGACTGGTAATTTTACCAATTATAGATATAAAATATTGAAAAGATTAAATTTTTTGTGAAGAGGTTACACGGTCATTTAAAACATAAATACTCAAAAAGATAAATATTTATATGAAAATAAATAAAGTGACAGTTATATATTTGTTTTATTCTCCTTTATAAATTATATAATATACCCGATACAATACAAGGGTAGTAATATTATCTTCACATAGTTGTTAGTTTTAATACATTTTAGATTAATCGAGCATTGTTATATCTAAATTATGTTAATTAAGTGAGTATTAAATTATTGATGAAAATGTTTCAATTTCTAAGAATCATTTATGATTGATATTATTTATTTGTTTATCGGAAAATACTTGAACTATCAAGGAATTAATTATTTTAACGAGGGTACAAAAATTCAATGGAAACGAAATAGTGTCGTCTGAGTTTTTAACCGTTTCCAATCTTGAAAGAAAACCAATTTATTTTAAAAATATTCAAAGTTAAAAAATAAACTCATATTTTTTTTTTAAGTTTTCATTTTTGCATAGCTTCAAAGATAAGAGTTTTTAAGCATGCATTGATTTGATCAGCTGGTATTCCATTTAGTATCTGCTGATGCTTGATTGTTGGAAATCTGAGGCTAAAATAACTGGTACTTAAAACATTATAGATTTATTACCATCCGGACCTTGTAAGTTTTATTTAATGCTTCTTGTCCTTTTTTTATTGACAGTTTCATATTTATTTGTGTTATATCATTCTTTAAATATTTTCAGTAATTTAACTGTCACGTGGAGCTTTCTATCATATTTTACAAGTTGGATATTATTCTTTTAAATTAAAATTAAGTGATAACTTTAATTTTGAACGTGCAGTTCATAACCACAGAATAAAGTTGCCGCTACCCCCAGATGTTGCGACTCGCACGACGAAGTTTTCTTTATTTTTTTTTCAAATTTCAGATAATATTAAATTTATCAAGAAAGTTTTTCCTATCCTCTGGTACATCCTGGTATTTAAGAATGTATTAAAATAAACTTAAAAAAACATTTTAATTAACTTAGTGATAAGATGTGATTTAAATTAATTTTAGATTCGATAGAAAAATATAAAATAAAATCAAAGTAGCATTTTTTATAGCTTTAGAATCAAAATACTTGCTGTATTTCTAATTTATATTTTTCAAATAATGAAAATTAGCCGTATAAAAAAATATGTTATTGCTGCTTCTATTTTCCTTATGCCTTAGCTATTCATATTTATTTGTAAATAAAAATCAGCTTATTATAAACTATAAAGTTATCTTTTATTCGTTTAATATGTCCCACCATTACTTATTACTTAATTAGAATTAAAATTTAGGTTAAGAAAATATTTATGCAATAGATAACCATACTAATAATATTAAGTCCATAATCAATCAGTTTTAGTAGACTTAAAAAATTAGGTGCCTACGTAGCAACATAGAAAACTAGGTTAAGCTAGAATATATAAAATATAGTACTATTGGAGTAAACAAAAAGGAATTTTTTTTTGGCAGTGATCACTTTATGCGATCCCTGTGTAAAACACTATAGCATGTTAATAAAATTCTTTTACTTATATTAATCATGTCATTGTTCGTTTTATTAATATACGTCGGAGGTAATCACTGTGTACGAGTACATGGCATAATTTATTATTCTTTTTAATTAAAATAGTATTTACCCTATAATATGTATTTGCATATAAATTTACGTTTTTAAGAACACTTAAATATCTATAAATGTATCTTTGATACTCAACATTTAACATTTACATTTTCATAATAAATTATAATAAGCAAATTTAATAATACGGTTGATGTGGAAGCGTATAATTTTTAGTTTCTTAAATCACCCTACTTGCGATCACTGCAGTACATGAATTAGTGTATTATGTAGTTATTAATTTTAATACAATAAAATTTATAAATACATAATTTATTTGGAAATATTTGTTTTTTATTTTTAGTAATTTAATAAAGTGTTTTCTTTTACATAGAAATTAGTTGGCTCTTTAACTTTATAAATTGACAAGTACTGCTGACCGATAAAATCCGATTTTTCTCTGTAAAGTATATTTAGTTTATTTATCTCGCCAAATTATTTATTGTACGGTGTTGCGAAACATTGCAAAGAAAACTATGTTATTTATTTCAAATAGATCCTAAAAACAAAACGAGGAGCCAAATGCATTTACGTCCAAATGATCATTGTCATATGTTATAGTTGTAACTTTCCCACGACCAAACCATTTATAGTAGGTACCTAACAATATTAGTAACTACATATAATTACCTACTAAAAATATTGAAAACCGTTTCGTGGACGAATTGTTGCTGTGTATATAAAACATGCGCAAGCTAGATTGCTAGAATCTTTAATTAATTCGATTTTAAGTATAATATTAAGTCGATTATATATATATATATGAAAATTATTTAAAGTTAAGCCCGTTTAAATAATTGATTTATATCTGAACAATACTCACTTAATCTTAATGCAAAAATAGATTCAACTGTCATAACGAAATATTTTAATGATGTGTAAACAGTATGCATTAAAAGAAGGTGATAATTCTGTATGCTATGTGACCGAAGACAAAATAATCTATGATTATATTCTAATAAATAGATAAAAAATAGTAATTGTTGATATAATTATATTGTTTATTTATATACATTATATATATATATGTATTAAATATTTGTAATAATTATCATTTGATTCAGCTGTGTCAAACGGCAAACACTGAGAAATGACAACTGCATTAAAAAAAAAAATAATTTTACATTAGTAAGCAAAAGGTAGACTCTGTGTATATTATATGTATAGTAGATATATCGTAATGGGATTCATTTAAGTATATAGAATATAATACATATGTAATGATATTATTGTACTTTTAAAATTAGACTTTTATGAAAATGCTTTGCAAAGTTATAGATATGTTTTATTATTTGAAGAGTGATTTTTGTCTCCTGACTTGAATCTATAAAATAATATGGTTCCGATTAAATACATCGACCGCGAGTGGACGCTTGTATTGTTTCCATTATCTTCCTCTACGTAAAATAAATGTTATGATTGCTGACGTTTACAACCAAACTACTGTTATTATAAAACAAATACCGGGCTATGTGTTTAAAACAATCGTGAAGGATGACATATTGTGATTATGTGAACAAATAGTATGGCAACACGATCATTCAAAATTATATTTCATAACCATCTGTATGTATAATTTATTATGAATCAACTATGTCATAAAATGTTATAGTCAATATGTAGGTACCGCATAAATGCCGTGAACGAACACTACATCAAAACGTCAACATTCGACGTCCTTGAACAGAGTTTTGAGTACTTTTTCATTTTAGTGGGTTTCATATAAAATACTGTTCATAATATTACGTAATATTTATTTCTATAACAGTTTTCTCGCTCCTCTTTTATGATATTTAATTGCAATCAGTGCATATTTTCGTACAGCAGGAGTCCAGTCTTATAAAGAACTTGTGTAAAAGTATTTGAGTGAAGTATTCAAATACCTTAGAAATAGTATCTGTATTTAAAATCAAATACTCGTTCTTTTTAGATGAATAAATATATTTTATATTTTAATTTTAATCACATAAAATTAAAATTAAAAAATTAAAAAATGATAGTAGTATATTTTGGAATTATTTTAAACCTAAAACTCAAATACACCGATGAAAATCTGATGAGTATTTTACAATTTAATCAAATGATACGGTGTAAATTCCTCTATAAAATTAAACTTCAACATTCAAAAAATCGGTTCAGTAGATACTTGAATTATAAGGTAAAAAAAATATTTATAAGAAATTATTGTTTTAAAGTATTTGTAGTTGTACTCAAATACTTTTTTTAATACTTTTCAAAATAAGTATCTGAACTATAGAAGTCTGAACTGAATACTCTTAAAAAAATATTCCTTACAAGACTGATCAGGACCATATACAATATTATAATATATGAGAGTATTCGAGTTTGTGAATAACGGTTAAGCCCATTTACAGTAAAGAGTAATAAATACTAATGTAATATATGTTAGTCCTAGCTAACACACAACATTTTCACAATTTTAAAAACATAGTCTGTATAATTTTTCGCAATTTAATATACTAAGTAAAATACATAATACAAAATATTTGTTTTACGGTATATTATAATAATGAAACTAAAAGAATTATATTCTTAGACTAACAAATATTGGACATTTCTTAAATTATAATATCCTTAAAATTATAATGTTAAATAATACATTTTGATCAATCATAAAATACTTAAATATACGATAATAAACAAAGCATTATGTAGTGCTATCGGTAACATCGAAGTATAGTTATGTGATTATTACATTTTCGGTTCGTCTTATAAGTTGTGACTGTAATAATATTTTACCGAAACAGTATTATCATCAATTTTTCGTTGAAATCGTAATTTATTGTAAAAAAAAATACGGGTATATTATGGTTGGCATCCCTAGGTCATTCGTATATTTTCTTTAAGTATAAAGTTTCAGGGCTGTTCGAAAATAATCGGTTTACATTGAGTTACCGTCGAGAATTATAAATTAAAAATACGTCCGTTTGAATGAGTGTTTACATTGAAGATTGAGGTACGCTTCATAATAAATAAATAATAATACAACCTACAAAATTATCGAATTGTGTTCACATATCATCTCATTGTATTATTATATGAATATTTCGACGATTTCGTGAATTATTTCAATGGTTATTTATTAATAATAGTATTTACACAATGTAATTATATTAAATTAAATGTCGCAGCTCCGTTAATGTTTTAATATTATCATATTATACGAACGCAGCGCAACCCTAAGTAAAATGGCATCGTCATTAATATACCATACGCATTGCGTACCGTATATTATCTGGTATAATCGTTACAATGTGTGGTATCATGTAATTATTATTATTATTAATATTATCATACAACATGGTTTAGCAATAAATTATCGTCGTGTGTGTGTGTGTGTGTGTGTGTGTGTGTGTGCAGTGTCAAGTATAATAACATAGCAGATCATTTGAACAACAACAGAGAGTTATTGTTATTGAATGCGTAGGGCAAGAACTCCGGCTCCCTGACTATCCTCATGATCCGGATGTTCACTTCCCTTTTGTCCAGAGTCTTTTTGAAGTATCGCTGTAACCTCGACGATACCACCCAAATGGCACCTTGGTCGCGATCGGCCGATCTGATATCCAATACGAACTGTAGTTCCTCCGGGCTGTATGCCAGCACACTGAAAATACGAATTGCGTTAATTTATCGTAATAATGTGTATAACTTCATATACATTGTTATCAAAAAAAAAAAAAAAATCACGTGACAATCTTTCGTCATTCGACAGTTTAGTCGTCAAAATAGGTATCTATTACGTATTCTTTACTCCGACAAATATATTATGTGGAAGTCATATTTGCATATTGTATTATACCGCACAACAGAGATTTCACGAACACTACACCGACTCTGGCTCGATTTTTAATTGGTGATACGAGGTTCTACAAAAACAAATACAAAACCAAACAACTGCGAAGTCTCACATCTACGTATTAGTGAGAAAGCCTTAAGAGTTAAGAGCATTATTTTTCACTCCAAAAAATTGTTACCATGATTCCAGTTTAGTATGCGGTACTAACTCAGAGTTTTGTTGAGGCACGTAATACCTAAAAGCTATCCTTAGAAGTTGGATAATACCCAAAACTGTATTTAAAAGTTTGTTTAAACGATGGCAATACTTAAACTTTACGTGAGGAATATTGTTTTTTTACTTTTATCGAATAAAATTACTCGGGTAACTGAAATTACGGCGTAGTCGTTTCGAGAGGTTATATAATAAAATAAAACTAGCTACGGAATCGTTATAGCAAATTAACCTTACAATATTGGTTATCGTAGAGCTTTAATAACAAACTTGTACCGAAAAAATGCAAGTGGGAAACATTTTCGTATTTGAATAGGTAATTAAAAATTGGAAGTAATTTTCAAGTAATAGTACACGTCTTAATCACAACTAAAATAATTAAAGTTGAATGGTAAATGTGTTATATTGTAAGACTCACCCGTGTTCCACGGATCCCGGAATCCAGGTGGCTAAGGCCGTTTCGGACACCGGACTGAATATGAGAGCACCGTCCTTGGGGTCGACGGCCAACGGGGCGGCTTGCGAAGACTTGTGACCCACCAACGACACTGGAAGATCGGCATCGTCACCCAAATTTGGTCCGGCCTTGAGTGCGGCTGTGGGCACGGAGAACAGACGGTCGGAGGCGAACGGCTGGAAGTAAAGGCGTCGGCCAACGGATCCGAAAGGCGATAGAGCTAGACCGATGACGCCGTCCATCAGAGTGAAAGATTCACCGGCTACCTATAATACACGGAACATATAAAAATCAGATATAAAATCTTTACCTGATATGCGATCAAGAACATGAGAGTGGTAAGTGGTAGAGTACTGGACATTTCAAAATATGCTTGATTTTTTCTTTATTATTACAGAGATAAGCACCGGATGACATTTAAGTTTTTTTTTGTTGTGGAAATTGCAATAATGTTGTCGAATGTAACACTTACCGAGAAGGTTCCAAAGTCTGGATCCGGGAACATGTACGGATGCGAGAGTCTCCACGCCGTGTCTCGTCGGGCGTCGTATACCAGAATACCTGGATTCGTACTGTCGGTCATGTACACAAACACGTTGTCACAGTCTCCGAGGAATCCGTCTTGCAGATGGGACACTTCCACCTGGTCGTCGATCACCAGATTTGTCAAAAGTGTGTTGGCCCTCAAGATTTCCGCGGGCAATGTCACGCTTCTCACCTGAAAATTGCAATACATATTTATCATATACCTATACAGTCTTACTTCTAATTGCGTACCTATTACTGCAATATAAGTTTTTAATTGAGACGAATGCAATACTTATGCGTACATATACATATATATATTATGAGTTAAAAAAATTAAAATTCATTTTCCCAGCCTTTTGGCGCTGACGACAGTCAGAAAACAAGCACATTTTTATCACACACAAATTAATAAAATCATTCATTATCACACAAACTCATCGTTTATATCAAGTCTTAAACCTTATACCAGTTATATATATTATAATTGTTCTAACGTTTGACGAAGTATATGTTTTAATTAAAGTACAACAATAGTAACTAACAATAATCAAGTTATTTCCCCCTAATTTAGCTTAACATTTATTTATCTTTTACTATGTAAGAGAATGTTTAGTGAATTGGGTACGTATCAGTTTATGAATAGTTATTTTTTTCTGTTCCATTGCATCTTTCTACTTCTTAAATTTATCATAGTTTCTTTAAGTTAAGCCTATCATAATTTCTAAACAATCTTAGCAAAAGTCAATCAATTAAAAAAAAATGAATTGTATAATTGACGGTATTGTGACTTAATTAAACACTATACATATATTATCAAAATATAGTGAAACAATTGTAATTAAAAAAGAATACTCACCACTTGGTCAGTTCTCATATCGAACACCAACAGCTTAGGCGGGCAGATCGTCTTGAAAGTTTCTAGACTGTCCATGACTCCACTATCCAGTACCCACAACCTGTTACACCTGTCTGCCCTGACCCTGAACACGGACACCAGGCTGGAACAGTTGGGCTTCGGCGACGTCAGCAGGTCACCGCTGGAAGCTTCGCTGTGCCATTCCCAGTTGGGATATGCCTGCACAAGAATAACGAGTTTCAAAACGACATATCGCAATCAATATATAATAATATTATTGTAAACTGCATCTTTATGATATTATGACAAGTCACATACTCAAATGTTGAGTTTACGTTGTCAGAAATCCTGATCAGAAAACTTTTAACACCCGAATCCAGAACTTATTTACCTGTAACAATGGCGATTTGTGTGTGTCATAAGTCACTCCAGCTCGGTTGCGTGGCACCCAAGCCAGCGTGGCCGGATTTCCATTGAACAGTCTCGGGGTCGTAATGAATATCCTGTCCCAACCTGAGGACAACAAATTAATTAGATTGTAAGTAATTTTTTCGAAAATAAAAAATATATTCTGTGTTGTTTGCGTGTGAAAGCCGTAGAATGACAAAATATAATAATATACCTATTGATTTGATAAATTATAATAATCATCATATAAGACGTTTTAACAGATAGTCGTAGATATGAAAACGAAAGAAAATAAAATACTTTTACAGAGAACCTTAACGAAATCCTAGGGCCACGAACAAAAGAAACCAACGAAGTAATGACATTTTTAGAACTTTCAGATTAATTATAGAATACATATTAATTAAAGATATAGAAATTGTGATTAAAAAAAAAAAAAAAATGTAAACACCGTTTATACGCTAATGACCATTGATGTTGAAGCATTAAATAAATAAATAAAAATAATATATTAACATTCATATTTTGATGGTTTTTAGAGAATTCCAGGAATTCCAAGGCGTTTACACAGTGTGTGATCGTCCAAATTCAAACAGATTCTTATGCCTGATTAATACAGTCTATCTTTATTTGTTATTTTGATATATGAGACACTTCGCAATATTCTCAATACTTTAAAATAAAAATAACGACCTAGTTCGTTGTGTGCATTCTCGCAATAATGGGATGACGCACAGTTTTCGAACATTTTTATTCGTTTAATAATAACCTACCAATATCGTAAACCGAAGTACATAACATAATACTGATACACGATATGCACATAAATATTTTATTACAGATCTCTAAAAGGACTATATCGGTTGTCGGACTTATTATTAAACAGGGAGTAAAAACGATTTCCGCTGTAGGTAAATCCAAAAACTGAAACTATTTTCACATTCAAATATTCAAAATACATCGTCGGTTTGTTTACATTCCGCGTATTTATATAAGATATTTTCAAACAAGAGTAGTTTATTTTAATAGACGGATACAATAAATTGGTTACGAATATTTCTCATGAAAAGTACCCAAACGTAAATATTAAAGCTTTGCCGAATTTATGGCGCCATCTAGTTTTCATACCGACGGGATTAAGACACCGACCAACATTTTTTAAATAATGACTAAAAATAGCATTATTATCAACTCTTGTAGTTTTCACACAGAAAAATGAAATCGCATATAACGGCATTCACACCTACTATAGTTATTACGTTATTAACTAAATAATTATTAATTAATTACACTATGGTACTTAGAAAATAGTATAATATTATAAGCAACATCCCAGATAACCTGTACGAAGCAATTGATCCATTTTCAAATCTTCGAAACATAATTTTAAACTTCAAAAAAAATTAATTGTTTAAAAGCATATAATACCTTCAATGTTAAAATGTAACACTTGTAACGTTAATAACCTGTGTAGTTGATGCTTAACCAATAAAGAAAAAAAATATTATAAGTTATGACGTTTTGACTTTTATGGACAAAACTGACACGGACGTGTAGAATGAAATCAAAATGTCGATTTCATTCTCGTGATGACTGATAAGTACTGTTATAAATTTTACCTTATATAATATCTTCTAAGGTTATACATTTACCTAATACTCCAGAAAACAATAAATATAATTTAATGTACAAGAAATGGTAAACGTAATGTGTACCTATGTAATTGTGTTTCTTTTTCGAGATGTCTAAATTGATTAGCTTAATGGTGAAACATGTCTATACACTTAACAGGTATTCACGTTGGGTCGTACAGTGGGTATTAAATATAGGTATAAGATAAACTGCAGGTAAACAACTGTCTTAAATATACATTAAAATACCTGCAAGTTCAATATATTTTATATTAGAGATAATTCAAAACTAAAAAAAACGTATTGTTTGGAAGAAAGTATATTTAGTATTTTTATATGATTTTTACTAAATTCTAAGGAAAAGTATATCCATTTTACATGTTATGCATATTTTATCTTAAATTATTATATTTTTACATACCTATACTGTGAGAAAATGTAAAAAGGTGAATATTAAATTTAACAACCGATGATTTAACACCTATGTTTTTCTTGAATTTGTACAAATGTAATTTATTAGACTATTAAAAATTCAAAAATAGATAGTTAGTAGTTTTAGGTTAAGCTTCAATAACTTTAAGAAGTTATGAAATAAGCGTCATCATTATTAATTTGTGATAAAAGAATGTTAACAAATTATGTTTTTAGTAATATAAGAGGTACCTTTATTATAAAATAAATTATTGTAGTTTATTTAAAGTATTTTAAGTAATGCACATCTAGGTATCATTAATTTATTATAATTCTTCATAATAGACCATAGTCTACTCAAAAAATATTCATTTTACCTTGATTTCTTCAATACTTACATAAGACAAGTATGTGTTATAATATAATATATTATATTGAAAGCATTTTGAAAAATAGAATTTAGAGCAAGAAACTATCATCAAAATAGTCATTAATTATAAAAAAATTAGATTTCGATTAAGGTCAAAATTAAAATTAAGCTTAAAATTAAAATAGTTCTTAAAGGCATTATTTCAATGTATATTATTCGAATAATTAGATGAGTACTAAGATATTCAAGTCCTGTTATATTCAAAATACTCTTTCGCATTTTGAAATTCTCATCCTTAATATATCCATCTTTTTTTAAAGAAACTACACATAGAGGTATGGGTACATTGCTATTTTATATTAAACTTCTCCATTATTTTAATTTTATTATGTAATTGTTTTTAATTTAATTATGAATTGAAATCGAGTTATTTCAGTAGGACTTGAATGCACTAAAAAATCATCAAATATTTATTAAAAGATATTTACTACCTACTTATGCATTTAATAATTTAAAACGTGAGATTAAATATATGTGTTAAAAAAAAACAACTACAATTTTATAATTATTATAACATTGCCACAGACTATCCTTAATATTAAACAAAAATAGAAGTAATAAATTATTTGATAAACTTTGGGTTGCACTATATCGCAATCTAAACTATACCAATTACCCACTGACCATTAAGATAAAAATTAGTTTGTACCTATGGTATTTATGACAAATTCAGTTCAATTAAATAATTCTCGACTTTGATTTACGACAAACACATATTTACCGTAGATTCGTAGTGTTTTGATTCAAATAAAAAATTTTAAGTATGCACTTGATAAAATTATAAAATCAAACCAAATTCTTAAAATTGAAAATATGACCTTTAAACCCAAAAATTAGAAAAACATAAAACCAACAATTGTTAGTAGTTTATCACAAACGTTCTGAATTGTATTTCTCACTCACTGAGCATACTATAAAATTAACTTACTATAAATTAAGTCCTTGCTCTACTTATTACGTATCTAATTATTTATTTATAAAATAGATCAATGTATGGTATTGTGTAGTGTGTATGAGATACATTATTATACAGTAAAATACATAGTATAACAAGAAAGCAAAGTCACTATACACTAGATATTGACTAAATTAATACAATTATGATTAATAACCTATTTTTTTGTATAAACTATAATCGGTCAACTTAAATTTAAAAAAATGTATCTACATGTAAAAAAATATATTATTCGGATTTAATTAATTAGTAATTTTAGATTTGAAATAAATAATTGATTCATTACAATTTTAGTTGATTTATTTATGTTATGTTTAGGTTCTTATTGTTTATTTTCTTATTTATCTTATGTTCAATTTTTTTTTTGTGCGAGTACGTGAGGAATGAGAGACAACAGAATAGAAACAGAACACAGACAATCAATCTCATAAATCAGAGAAATCACAATAACTATCCTTAGTACCTATACAGAGTACAGAGTATAAACCATGAAATTCTAGACTATATATAGATAATCGTCGTTAACAATAATCGTCATATTATTCAAACGGATCTTGTAGCATGGTTAGATACTCATCAGATTCTTACATGACTACGACGTACTTAACAATTTTTTATCAAACTCGAGAACGACAGAGACTTAAACGCCTTCTCACACATAACCAACTTTACCTACGATTGGCGGTATGCAATACTCTTAATGCATTTTATGTAGTCTGATAATCAAAATATCGATACGACAATTCTTATGAGTTAATAAAAAATAAAATGAACAACTATAGGCACTAACCGACTTCGATTCCGGTGGATACCGTGACTTCGGGCTTGTACGAATCGGCATTGGGGTAATTGAACGGCACATCGTACCTGAGCAGTGACCATTCGTTGACGACGTGCAGGTTGCCGGCACAGGTGACGGCTGCCACGGCGCACGCCAAAAGTACCGCGATTGAGGAGATCATGTTTGAAAAATAAATCGAAATTCGATCACTTCGCGATTTATAACTCGAACGGTTGCGAAAAAAAACGGACCAGACGAAGATCGACGAGACCGCGTAGTACCGGATCGGTGCAAGTCTGCTGCGAAACTGACGTTTGAATATTTCAATGTTTAACAGCATTCAGCACGCCGTCGTCTGCCGGACGGTCTCGTGGGCCACCACCACCACCACCTCCACTGGAACCGGACTCCGAATCCCAATGCAGTGTGTGTGCGCGTGCGCCGGATGAACGCCGTTCACATTATAATTAGTGGCGTCGTCTATTACTGAATACTATTATTACTATATGTCGTTATCATAATTATTATTGTTAATTTAATTACCAAGTGCCGATAATGACATATTATGTTCACCGGAACTACTGGATATTGTTCCGGAAAAATGCAAGGTCGATACGAAACGATCGTTTAACTGTAAATAAAACTCTGCTAATAACAATATATTATACAGGGTGTATATTCTGAAATATGATGTACAATAATATTTAAATGCCTTTTCGGCATGAAAGTCCTCCACATGAACACATACGTCCTTTAATATATGCACAAGTGTTTTAGTAAAGACTTATGCATTTATTACGGCCTATGCAATTTGGTCGTTGTGTACAATTTTTGGTAAGTATCATCAATATTTAAATAAAACTGTAACAATACTTCATTGCTTTGCAAAATAAAAGTTTCCAGAAATTACATGGGCTGTATAGCTATAAATTGAGCGTTTTAACTTAGGATTGTACAACATATTTTTAAGAATCGTTATAACATAATATAATATCTGTAATTCTTTCATAATAAATTGGTATCAGAATCTACAGTGACGGTGTGGCAATCGTATTCCTACTTATCTATGATATCGGATTTATCTAATCACTCTAACCCATATAATATATATATATATATTATTAAGTGTCGAGCTCGAAAAGGTAGTTGTAAAAATTCAGGATAACTTCATGACTGCCGAATTATTATTACAGTCTTCCATGTAAAAAAAAGGTTCATATAATTGTACAATATAACTAACTATTTAATTATAAAAGCTATTACAGATTCCTCATAACTTATATCCATGCTTGGGCCTCCGATTTTTTTTCCACTGAAATATACTTTCGTGAGCAGTAAAAGAAATTTCCATTGAATACCGATGTCCAGCGCCACGCTAATCGATATTTTTTTGGTTTTTACGATTGTCATATCAGTGCAGACAATAAGTCGCGCCCATTATATTGTAGACTGTAGTGTCTACATTCTAGACGACCATTAGCAACGATTTAATATCATATTCGATATACATTATAATCATATTTTAATGTACATAAGTGATGACTGACGAAACCGTCAAAATAGATCTTGATAGATTTTGTTTTATCAATAACATAATAATTATTTTAGTAAGAATATATTGTGTTGTATTTGTTGTTTTTAGTTCATAATATCATGTTTTGATAATGTTCCGTCACGAATTTATTTGGTCCTCACTATTATTACTTTCATAAGGAAAGCTATAAAATAACCATGCTTCGGACGTGTAAAGCTCAAACCAGATTGGAGAACTCGGCTAAACACAATTTTGTGGTCTAATTTAAGTACCAGATTTAGATAAGGGGAAAATCAAAAAGACGAATATCGAATTAATGATTGAAATAATCTCAAATTTTTTCAGCCTGAAAAAAAAAAATATAAAACAGTATAGTGATTAGTGATCGTGGTTTAGATTGATGGAAATCGGCATTCCAATATAAATAATGTTATCGTTTCAATATAGTCAATATAGGTTTTATTCTTACAATACAAATGTTAATATATTATCATATATGTATACCAGCCATACAATACTCTGATAGTCCAAATGTCTAATAACTTGAAACGGCATTATAAAAATTCCAAATTTACTATTAGTTCTAAAATCAAAATGTGAGATTCAATTTTTTTATCAAGAAAAATGTTAAAAATATTTGCACTTCAGTTAAGATTCTTAGCGAAGCGATGGCTGTATTGATTTTACAATTTGTTTTTTTTTTTGTGTCTGTCATCATCTTTTGGAGAAGTAAAATTGCTTTGATTTCTTCAATAGCATCTTTTCTGGAAGGTAAATGAATCTAGTTAATATTCTGGAGGGGGGGGGGGTCAAAAGTACAAAATTCGTAATAGTTTTCAAGAGCAGCAGGAAAAACAAACATTTTTACAAAATTGACATTTTTGATATTACTTTTAAAAAAATAACTTAGGTTCATGAAATTTTCACAGAATGTTTATTTCCACTTTTCTATACATCATATAATCATATAATTTTCAAAATATTTTGACTCTAGTAAAACTATTTATAGTCGTATGAATACGATTATTATTAGTTTTTTTTAAACTAATGTCCATAAAATAATTTTCACTCAGTCAAAAAACTATAAAATGTAAGATTTTAATAGTGGAAATAAAAAAAAAATTGAGAGTAAATCTACAATAATTTTTTATGAGCTTTTGAATATTTTGACCAAATTCGTAAAAATCACGAAAAATCGTAGATTATTTTAAGTGGAAAATTCATAAAAATTTTTCCTTTTTTTATCTAAGATTGTCTTAAATTGAATACTATATTTCTTATAAGTTTGTCTTCTGTATCAAAAAAATTTTTACCGGAAAGTCAAATTCAAATTTATGAACGTTTGAAGTTGAAATTTTCATAAGAAATTATATTCACTCGATTTCGCATGTGGTAGTGGTTTTCTTAATTCTATTGTTGTGATTCAAAGACGAATAACTATAGACACTGAAATTTACACTTTATGTTTATCTTATCAATTGATATACTTGATACAATTTTCAAAATATTTTGATTCGTCTTAAGCGGTTTACAAACATTTTAAATTTTCAATATTTTTAGTTTGTTTTTCTATAAATGTCAATACAATTTAATTTGTTGATCAAAAAGCTTGAAAATGTAAGACAAAACTCTTGTATATTGTTGCAATATCAGTTGAAAAATATTAAAAATACATTGTACGATTTTGATTCATAAGCATTTAAAGTTCAACTTTGAAGAAATTCTCTAAATAGAAAATGTACAAATTATTTTATAGTTAAATATTTAAGAAAATTTCAACTTTTATAACTTAAGATCAAACTTTTAAAACAATGTTGCACACAATTAGTCAATTCTGAAACCACAAAAATTTAAAAACAGTTTTTTTTATAACTATTTTATGTTCAGATTTGGAAGGAATTGCATATTATTAAATAATCAAGAATAATAACTTAAGTAAGATTGTTGTAGGTAATTTAAAAATATTTTTCTTGGATACCTACTTGAAACTTTTAGGGTATCTTATAATAATTTATTCACACTATGACTTTTCAAATGTAATTTTTTTTGGCAAAAATGGATTTAACTTACTGTAGTACTAATGCTTAATAGTAAAATGAATTACTTTAATCACAACAACACCATCAATATTCTAAATTACTAAGTAATAGTATAGGCCAACAGACCGTCTTTGCCCAGAATCGTTTTTTATGCAATGGGTTTGAATTATTGAATTCAAATTTAACACCATCCATTACTGTGAGCCACTTGTAACCTACTATACAGCAGAGCGCCATCCACTTACTCGCTTTTTATATAATGACATTTAACCATTTTGTCTGATAAAGTATATTCTAAAATAAAACTTAAAAAAATATCACGACACGACATTTTCAATTTAAGTAAAGTAATTAGTTAAGTATCAAAATCTAATCTTTGTTGACACGAAGAATTTCACTTTCTAACAATAATTTTCTAATGACATTATAATATGGAAAAAATAAACGTGGAGTTTAATTGAACGTAAAAAAGCCGGTTTTGAAACGTAAATACTTACTGTTATTTCACGCAGGTATACCAAATATATTACGATATAGGTATTTTAAGAATTAAAACTACTCTTTCTGATGAATTGTTGTGCCCTTTGGATTTTAAACCAAAATGTCAATAGCCTACATTTTAATATTTGCTAATAAAATTATTGTACTTATATTGATTATCACTATGACGTTATCTATAAATTTGTTGTGGTACAAGTTTATATTTATACAAGTATACAACAACTGTGAAAAAAAGACAGACGTACACATAGATAATAGAAGAATCTCGTAGATAATAGAATTGTATTATCTATGGACGTTCAACACATTATTTACACAATATGTCTTTATTTGTATTTACCGATAATAAATGTGTGGTGACTCGTTGTGTGTACCAATATTATTCTAGTATAGTTTTCAAATGATGATGTTTTCGTATGGATTTCAATCTTGTTCAATCTGAAAAACGTACGACTAAAGGTGATATTTCATTTAAATCGTCGAACACAAATAAATGTCAGAATGCACCGTTGTCGAAAACCAATACATTTACAATCTTAAAACTAACATAAATTATTAAAAAATAAAAATATACAATACCTGCAACATACGATACGCATACGAATAGATAGATAGATAATACATAGCATATAGATATGTATTATATTATGCACAATTTATTGGGAACCTACCTATACTGAAATAATAACCGTTTTATAATAATTCAAGATGAAAAATAATAAATGTATTACATAAAAAAGAGTATTTCCTATTGAACGAGAGTCCTCAAAAAACGTCCAGGATGTACTAACTGTAAAAATTACTCTCAGATATTTTTATGATTAGATGGTTTTCATTGCGTATAGTGTAAAGTCGAGACAAGATTTGCTATCGATTCCACATAAACTATTCTTGTAGCAATTGTTACACTCATTTTGGGATGGGCCATGTCAATCAATATTATATTTTATATAACATTAAATATTATGTAACCATTATTATTGCAATAATTCTATATGATCGATCGATTCAACCGAATGCTTCAATAATAAACTCTCACAGTCTCACCGTCCAAATAACTAGTAATCGTTCAACTGCCAATATTCGTATTCGTCTATACGACTTATGATGACCAAAAACGATTTGAGTTATTTAAAATGTTAATTTCAAGTCCAATTGAAAGTATTTTGTCCATAAACAGAAAAAAAGAAAGCGTTCCATAATAAAATAAATAATTGCACGCGTGGACCACAATTTTAAATGTATTGT